CCACACTCACTCACTCACTCTTCCCTCAACGCTTTGACGCGGTCATTAATCCACTATTCAAAATGGGCTTTGTTTCTAATTGCTGAAGAATAGTATCAAGTTTGGCGTCGATACTCGTGACGAGAATAATATACTGACCGTGCTTGCAATAAGAGCGAGTATGAACAAATCTTCACACCCGTTAAATACCCCTGTTACACGCCACGTACCGGGGAGGACTACTCACTTACATCACCGCTACACACAGGGAGGAGAAAGTAATTTCCTTCTAATTCATACTTTAACTGAAGAAAATGCCCAAATCGTCCTATAATCAACAACATAAAACCAAATACAGTTGGACCAGGTGTACGGTACACTCCGAGAGACAATGGCTAATATATAGAACAAAATAACTTTGATCCAGAGGATCAACACGGCGCAAAGACATGTTGCAGGAAACCTATTGATACAAATACCTATACTGTCATTAAGCTCACGTGTCGCCCAGAAGGTAAACAAATTGTAATTTGCATGTGGCAGGAAGGAGAATGTGGCCCATTTCAGTTTAAATATGGATGTGATATATAAGTAGAAAACAAACATATTATGAAAACAAAACGAGTAATATGTTTCCACAACAATGACTTCCGGAAAGATTTGTTATTATTTTCAAGGAACATGGGATATTAGTGAGTGAGTGTGTATGGTTTTACGCCGCTTTTGGCAATATTCCAGCAATATCACGGCGGGGGACACCACAAATGGGCTTCACACATTGTACCCATGTCGGGAATCGAACCAGGGTCTTCGGCGTGACGAGCGAACGCTTTAACCACTAGGCCACCCGACCGCCCCACATGGGATATTAAGTTGACACAATCCTTGTGGTATACATGGTACTGTTGACATTGATATATCTACAGTGGTAAAGTTATTAATGGTTTTTTTTCATGATTAATCGTTTCAAAGTAATAGTTACAATGTTGTAATATCTTTTTTATAATGAAGTAGATCTGCACATAGAGACATGCAGATAATGTTAAAATTAAAACCAACATCGTTTTTCGTGCATTTGTTATTCTTAACCATGAACCATACTTCTCAGTCAGAGCTACCTACCTATTTTTTAATATGTTTACTCCTGTAGCCTGACACATCAAATATTCACACTGTCCAAAAGTGCTAATATCTCACTGCACGGAAACTGGGTAAACGATAGTTATATGCTATGGACCTGTTCCTGACCCTCTCGACAGGCAGGCCAGCTTTAAGGAAATGGATCAACGTTTCACGCATAGCGATATGCTGTAGGCCTGTCTCCGTCCCTCTCGACATACTGAAAGCTTCCCGGAAATGGGTCAACGTTTTACCGCATCGAAACGATGTGTGGAGAAATAGGTCGGATAGAGCTAGACTGGTATCCTGCCCTTCGTTTCCTATAGCGGCCCCAGGCGAGGAGCGCAAGCGCTCTAGGGCATGTAAACCAGTCTAGGACAGGAGGTGGCTCCCTGTTATGACTGTTTCCGAATAACATCAACATGTTTAGTGAATTATTTTACAGTTAGGAATGTTTAAAAATATTTTTATAATTATTTATCTATTTCGCATGTACGCATATCTCTATACTTATTTGAGACATAGATAAAGTTTCTTTTAAAAGTTTGGTTACATCTTTCCAACGATTACTCATCCCCATGATCCAAGCCCCCATGTAATCTTCTCAAACATTCTGACACCTTTTTTTGTGTGTTTGATGCGCAATCGAAGCATTCGTAAAATCAAGCAATCCCGTCCGTCGCCCAGCAGAATTAGGCACAATCAGTAAGATCCATGTTAAAACTAAATGGCAACAGAGATGGGCATCATCCTTAAAAGGACGTCATCTCTTTGGCATCGAGCCTTTTTTTAAACACATTCCAAATATCTCGAAACAATCGGAGAGAGGATGTTCTATTAACCAGACTTCGTCTTGGGCATTGTGGTCTTGGTGCTTATCTCCATGTTATTAATAAAGACATTTCTGCACATTGTACAGTGTGTAATCAGCTTGACAATGCGGCTCAGTATTTACTTCATTGCCAAAAATATGTCAATCAGCGTAAGGCAATGGTGGAGTCTCTAACAGTTCTGGAAATATCGTTCGCCATGATGTTCAGAATGTCATTCTTGCTTGTATTAAAGCGTGTGGCAGTTTCACTCCACTATGAACTATCTAGGTAATTAGCAAACCTTTATTGTGGGCAAGGTGTTAATGGGCCTAGTTGCCCGAACACCTATAAAACCTTTTAATAATTAATCCCGTCAATCGCCCAGCCTAACTTTCACAAAAGAAAAGGGAGCTAACACTGGCCTTGTTTAAAATTAACATGTGTAGTGAGGTGAAATGGAGTTTGACGTCACGTTCAAGATTGTTAGACTTATGTAGCGGCGTCCATGCTTATGTGTGTGTCTGTGCTAGTCCGAACTAATGCTGATATTACAGAGCTAGCCAACTGAGATACCATGAATACCCCACACAGTCACAGTATACTGACTCCAAGCCGACCAATCCTTTTTTATCCACTAATGCCCAGCGCCAGGCAGGGTAACAACAAGTACCATGTTTTAACGTCTTTTGGTATGACGCGTCTGGGGATAGAACACCGGACCTTCCGCTCTCGGGGCAGACACTCAACCACTAGAGCACGGAGGCGGTCTTCAAAATCATAAACTGGTATTTGATAAATATGATAAAATGAGGTTGGTTGGTTGGTTTGTTGTCTAACGCCGCACTCAGCAATATTCCAGCTATATGACGGCGGTCTGTAAATAATCGAGTCTGGACCAGACAATCCAGTGATTGACATCATGCGCATCGTTCCACGCAATTGGGACCAATGACATGCATCAACCAAGTCAGCGAGCCTGACCACCCGATCCCGTTAGTCGCCTTTTACGACAAGGATAGTCGCCTTTTACGGCAAGCATTGGTTGCTGAAGACCTATTCTATCCCGGGTCTTCATGAGGTAACCCTGCCTTTTGATGTTACGCTCCTACCCAGGATGTACTGTTGTGTTATCTAGATCTGTATGCTGTGGTGTATATATGCTTTCCTCAATGACCGATTGAAGAATAAGCCTCATACAAACCTGTAGTTATTGGCATCGTGTCCAGCAATCGGGAAACAATGTGGATTTAGTCAGAGTTCGATAAACGACACAGTGTCATGTTCATGACATGCCCGACATTACTACACGGATGTGTTGCCGTTCACGTGGTAAACCCATTATTATATTCTCGCGACATTCATCTGGGCAGTGAGAATAAAACTTGACAATGCTGATAAATATATCACATACGTTCCCAATTGAAGCCCTTTTTAATTCGTATCTTTGAGTGAGTGAGTGAGTTGGGTTTAACGCCGCTTTTAACAGAATTCCAGTTATATCACGGCGTGTCAGCTTAATGTGGAAGGAAAGCCCCAAGTGATGCAGGTCTCAAACGTTTACCACTTCGGTGAAACCCACGAGCACGGGTATGGTGCTGACTAACCTAGAAACATAATCGGGGCGAACCGGGATTCGAGCCCACAATCATAGGTTTCTGGCGTGCCCAAGGGACGCAACTCTGCACAGCGAATCGCGGCGCATTAGACGACTGGGCCACCCGTGCCTCCTCGTATCTTTGAAACTCGATAACCGACGATGATGTCGCAATATTGTAAGCTATTGTGTAAATAGACTTAGGGTGGGTTGAACCAGGATGTGTGGCATTTGCAACACGACATTATTACCTGTATTACATTACTGACATGCTGGGGGACTGGAGGATCTATTCACAGGGAAGGAGCTTTGGAGACAATGGGGGTAGAGTGAGTGAGTGAGTATGGTTTTACGCCGCTTTTAGCAATATTCCAGCAATATCACGGCTGGGGACACCAGAAATGGGCTTCACACATTGTACCCATGTCTGGAATCGAACCCGGGTCTTCGGCGTGACGAGCGAACGCTTTAACCACTAGGCTACCCGACCGCCCCTAAAGGGGGTAGAATGCGACGAGGAAAAGAGAAGGAATTGTGATGTATGTCGATCTCACATACTCAACTTACGTCACATTTCCCGCACAGTTTGTAACTCTCAACTTGGAATTTGCTTCCTATAAATGCATTTTCTCGTATTCTGTATAATCACAATATTTGTTCTATCTGAGATGCAGTTTACAGTATATAATAAAGCGATCACGGTCAATGTATACAGCATATAGTATTGTTTGTTTGTTGTTTAACGCCGCACTCCGCAATATTCCAGCTATATGACGGCGATCTGTAAATAATCGAGTCTGGACAAGACAAACCAGTGATTGACAACATGAGCATCGATCTACGCAATTGGGATCGGTGACATGCATCAACCAAGTCAGCGAGCCTGACCACCCGATCACGACAGCATATAGTAAAGAGATCATGGTCACTGTATGCAGTATATAGTAAATCTGCTTCTGTATACAGCGTGTATACTGTAACGAGATCAATGTCTCTCCAAACAGAATAGAGTAGTGGTACATGTAGGACCACGTTTGCATACAGTGCATATTAATTGTCAATCTGAATCTGGATCTGTATACAGCATACAGTAACGCGATCAATGTCTCTCTACACAGTATAGAGTAGTGGTCAATGTAGGACCACGGTCTATCAGCTCATGGGCGTTTGATACGGTGGGCGCGATAGGGGAAGAACTGTATCGCTGATCAATGTTCTTTAGTGTAGAGATAAAACGGCGGGGTTGCTTGAAGAAATTTGATTCGCTTTGCAGAATGAAAGTGGGAAGTGTTAGAGGGTTCTGGATGCAAGGTAAGACAGACTAAAATTAGACGTGTAGCTTTGCTCGGGGAAGTCGAAATCCACAGCGAGAGAAGATAATGACTTGCTGGAAGGAATTTGTAACTGACAAACCCTCCTGTCGGTAAAACGATTTCATTGGCTAACTGCCCATTCGGCAAACATCGGTACATTCCGACAGGTATTTACTGAGTTGCAGACGACAGATTATCATTACGGTGAGAGGAGCCAGTACGTCCACCCGAACGTCGTTTGTCAGCTTGTGTTGTCCGTGTTGTCCCTGTCGCCATGGCCCAGATCGAAGGAGAATTTGGCCCTCAAGGAGATTTTGCATCCCTCGGGCTGGCTGTACAGTCTCATAAAGAAAATGAGTTTACAGTGAAAACAAATGTATGTGAAATCAGGTTCAAATCAACCAAGCCTGTGAAGTTTACTCAAAAGATGGTCAACGTCAAAGACGAGGAGGACGACCTGTCCTCATACGTCTTCAGCCAACGGTACGACGATTGTATGCACTTTTGCATCAATTTTCCCGAGTCGGGAAGCTACAAATTCCAACTGTTTGCTCTCCCCGGAGACACCAAGGAGACCTCTTTGCCCAACGTCTTCAACTACAAGATCAAAGTCGAAGGCGCGTGCCACGCCGTCCACGCCTTCCCCAAGCAGTATGCGCAATGGAAAGATGGCTGCTCTCTCGTAGAACCAACGGTCCTCAACTCCAATTGCTCACTGACGTCGGTCAAGTTCAAGGTCAACATCCCCAATGCCAAGGCCGCCGCCATCGTAATTAATGGATCAGATTGGAAGCATTTGGATAAAGCCGGCTGTTGCTTTACAGGAACATATGACCTTCACAAGCTGAGAAATTCTGGTGCCAAGGTCACCCTGAACGCCAACTTCGATGAAGGGTCAGGGTCGTATCCTACCCTCCTGGAGTACAAGATTTAAACTGTTCATCTTTGTCATAACCTCTTCATAAGGACGTATCACAAGATGCTTCTGACTGGAATTGCTATCATACTGTTTATACTGTTTACATGACTGTCCATGTGTTTCTCTTGTATCGATACTTATTGGATGGCGTACTCTCAGATAGATCGGATTTTACCAGCAGGTAATACTTTCAGCTTAAATGTTATATCTGTTAATACTACTTAAAGGGGTGTTAAACAGGGATTTACAGGGAGGGCCACATAACTGAAAGTATCTTGGCTGTGGATTTAGTTTTTACACATGGCGTCAATCCTGCAACGTATGTTTGCCATGGCGTTAAAGGGACCTGCTTCATTGATAACGTCACACGGCGTTGACATGAATGCCCCGTTCCACAATCGATCCTTAGCGCTACGGCAATCGCAAGACAATGTTAAAATGTGGGCGTTTCGATCACCACTGCTAAGATTGCTTCGTGTAACAGGGCCCTGGTTCGTCTGGTCGCAGCTTGCCTCTGTTCCCTTGCACTACTGAATTTGTGTTCTTGTTTCATCAGGTGAGGTGAGGTGAGGTGAGGTGAGGTGAGGTGAGGTGAGGTGAAATTGGGTTTAACGTCGCGTCCAAGATTATTGCACTTATATAGCGACGTGCATGTACGTGGGTGTGTTTGTGTGGCTGCTTGTACTAGCCCGGACTGATGCCGATTTATAGTGCTAGCTCACTGAGATACCATGCCGCAGTTTTACATGAATACCCGACTCAGACACAGTATACTGACTCCGAGCCGACCAGTCCTTGTTTTAGCCCCTTAATGCCGAGCGCCAGACAGGGTAACAACAAGTACCATATTTTAACGTCTTTTGGTATGACGCGGCAGGGGATCGAACCCCGGACCTTCCGCTCTCCGGGCGGACGCTCTACCACTAGACCACGGAGGCGGTATTTCATCAGTGAAGAAAGCTGCGTGCAACATTATGTCAACATAAGTTCCCTATTATGTCTCCATATTGTCTTGTCAGTGTGTAAAAAACATTATCACGTTGCAAACATACATGAAGTGACGTGCAATGTATCGGTGGGTTACAATTCATTCAATGGTTGTTCCATACTTTCTTTAAATTACAGAAGAACCATTGTGACATTACAGTCAAGCTGATCGTATATCGTGCCTATATTATGCCTATATTGTTCTGGTTCTGGTGGGGCGGTCGGGTAGCCTAGTGGTTAAAGCGTTCGTTCGTCACGTCGAAGACTCGGGTTCGATTCCCGACATGGGTACAATGTGTGAAGGCCATTTCTTGTGTCCCCCGCCGTGATATTGCTGGAATATTGCAAAAAAAACGGCGTAAAACCTCACTCACCCATTCTGGTTCTGGTACTATGTGCAATAATGTGTAAATAATAGTGTATAAGGTCCCTGTACTACTTTATACAGCGATTTGACTGTTTATTCCATCTGAAAATGCCGTTAATGATGCAAGATCGTTTGATGTTTGAAACTACGCCACCTTGAGAAAATACTTCAATACTAGAGAGAACAGTTTGCACAGACTACAATTTGTGCGTTTGTTGTGTTCAGTATTTGAGATGATATCCGATATACCATTATCTGGATGGGGATATATACACTTTGTCATATTTGATCAGGAACAATTCCTTATTGGTGGTGATATACTGTTTATCACATGTCGTATGTAGTAATATGTGGCCTGTACCACCAGTCTAGCCCCGCCCCTCTACATATGCCAGTTGTGTTATAGTGTCACAGACTCTTCACATCTTTCGGGGTTTTTTTTGGTTTTTTCATTGTTTGTTTGGTTTTGTTTTTGTTTTGTTTGTTTGTTTTTTTTGGGGGGGTTGGGGGGGTAACGCCGTAAATAATCGAGTCCAGTGGTTGATATCATGAGCATCGTTCCAAGCAATTGGGATCGATGACATGCATTCAACCAAGTCAGCGAGCCTGACCACCCGATCCCGTTAGTCGCCTTTTACGACAAGCATAGCCACCTTTTACGGCAAGCATGGGTTGCTGAAGAGCTATTCTACCCCGGATCCTTCACATCTTTCAAAAACATAGGATAACTATCATGGCACAGGGATAGCTTTGTCGAAAGTGTACGATTGTCTTATTTGTGTTGCGACTGTCTATATTATACATATAATAGAAATATACCACAACTCTGATCCGCCTTGAAGTCCAAAGGTTGTGTTAGTCAGTATAGAGTGGCATTTAGTGTTTCATAAACTAACGAAATATTGACTTAGGGAAGGTGGGTGGCTGTGTGTGTGCGTGCGCGCGTTTGTGTGTGCGTGTGTGGGCGTGGCTGTGTGTGCGCGTGTGGTTGTGTATACGTGTGCGCGCGTGAATGTGTGACTGTGGCTGTGTGTACGAATGTACGTATGCGCGCGCATGTGTGTATGTCTGTGTGTGCGTACGTGTATGTTGTGCACGTGCGCGTGCTCATGTGTGTGGAGGGGTCTGACTCCAACACGTGGTATGTCAGCTATGGGGCGGTAAGTGAGATGCGGGCAGAATACAGCTGTCCCTCGGTTGTAAATATAAACAGGTGCGTGGTTTGGATGATTATAATTGCAAAATATATGTGATATGTGTTCTTGATGCCCCGTATAAACCCATTAAGTCGTCTTTAATAACACAGACAGTATGATTACGACACTGTACTCGCAATGATAAAGATCATGTTCAAAGTAAACATGAATTTTTTTGTTTAAAAAAAATATTAACAGATTAAATAAAATTCACTCAGTACAAGCCAACAGCAAAAACTGTTTTATAAGAATAGAGTACAATCCATTAGATTTACGCCGAGTAAAATCCTTTGTAACCAGCAACACACGATCTGGTCCTGCAGCGAAGAATGTTAAACCTGTAATAGTTACTAGAACGGGTTAAATATACACGACGACTCTGTTGACACAATTTACCATAAGTAAATGAGTTTTTCCGCAGTCAACAATTACTGGGGTATTCCGTCGCCCATACCTACCGCCCGTTTCCTGTTGCCTACGTGTAAAGCAGTGTAATTAGTTGCGAGGGCGATACCTCGCAACCTGGCGTTGTTTCAACGGCCCGGACTTTCTGCATTCCGCATTGCAAGTTTTCCCATTCCATACCCCGCGAAGTAGTGCAGAACGAATGTTCGTACATATGCACGTGTTGCTATATATGGCCAGTCTACATCTTTTTACTCTTTATCGAAAGTCGGCTACCACGATAAAGAGGCTGGCATTCACGAAGCTATATCATAAACATCTTTAAAAAATGTCTTCTTTTTTTTAAAAACATATACTACTTTCAATAAATGTTATGATTCACGTCGTAAATTTGAAGGTAATATTGAATCCCCGAGGGCATCAAATTAATCTAATCCGAACGCAGATTCTTGAGAATGTTTCGTGCTTATCTCCCCCTTTTTAATTGATGGCACTTATCGCCATAGGTGGCGTACGTATCTGACTGCTGTCAGGTTCATCTGAATAGATGGTGTTGATGACAGTTCACCAGCTGTCTGACATCACAGATGTAAAGTTGTAAGTAATCCTAATACCGACTGAGCCTGTTAAGCAAAAACATTGAAATTCCACGATACCTAACACATGTGTATGTAGCCTTCACGTGCTCCCTGGACTATTGCGGGACAGGAGGGTAGCCTAGTGGTTGAAGCGTTCGCTCGTCATCCCGTAGACCCGGGTTCGCTTCCCCACGGGGGTAATGCTATATTGGTGGCCGAGTGGTGAAAGCGTCCGCTCATCACACCGAATTTCCTGGTTTTCAATCTGAGACCAATTCTCTATTGCTCTATTATTGCAAAATTAAAATCACTTCCCAAGGTTATTGTGAAATATTTAGTGAGGGAAGTCTTCGTGAGCTTGTACGGGAGACCACGACATGACCAGCGCTGTCCATCGCTGTTTTCGTTGCACAGCCATTCTGTTCTGAAACAAGAAAATCGTATGTTGTCTTCTTTAAACGTTCATTTTATAGTCTGTTCAAGTTTATTATATATTAACAAGCCCTTCCTCGATCCAAACAAACATTGAGGCTCAGTCAAACAGCTATAACAATGTATGTCTAAGTTCCTCTTTAACAATATGTGCAATTTGATTGGCTGACGGATGTCTGGTATCTAAGGTATTACCCCCAGTAGAGAAGTGAGTCATCTTCCCGGAGTGAAATATTCCTTACATCTGCTGCCATAGATCGTTAGATTTGGGGAAATTATCCAGAATTCCTTGTTGCGAAGGCGAAACTTGAAGTTCCTTATAAGCTTGAGGGTTACTGGTGTAACCACGCACATCTTCAGTGCTGCACTACGGGGATTGGGTCGGGATGATGTTGGTGGACATTGGAAGGTTGTAACTTGTACAATGTACAATGCTAGAATACAAATGGTACGCTTGAGCTGGAGAGCCGGTTGTATGTTGTGCTTTAGTAACCTTTAATACCCGACAAACGATTGTCTATAAAGCGGTAATCTAGAGCTCGAGAGGAGATTGTGTAATGTACAATAGTAACCTACTGTTTGAGAACCGATTGTGTAAAGTACAATAGTAACCTCCTGTTTGAGAAGCGATTGTGTAAAGTACAATAGTAACCTCCTGTTTGAGAAGCGATTGTGTAATGTACAATTCTAATCTCCTGTTTGAGAACCGATTGTGTAAAGTACAATGGAAACCTACTGTTTGAGAACCGATTGTGTAAAGTACAATAGTTACCTCCCGTTTGAGAAGCGATTGTGTAAAGTACAATAGTAACCTCCTGTTTGAGAAGCGATTGTGTAAAGTACAATAGTAACCTCCTGTTTGAGAAGCGATTGTGTAAAGTACAATAGTAACCTACTGTTTGAGAACCGATTGTGTGAAGTACAATGGAAACCTACTGTTTGAGAAGCGATTGTGTAAAGTACAATAGTAACCTACTGTTTGAGAACCAATTGTGTAAAGTACAATGAAAACCTACTGTTTGAGAAACGATTGTGTAAAGGACAATGGAAACCTACTGTTTGAGAAGCGATTGTGTAAAGTACAATAGTAACCTACTGTTTGAGAAGCGATTGTGAAGTAAATATTGGTAACCTGTTGTTTAACAATCGATTGAATACAATAATAACCTACACCTCTAGACACAACTGTCTATGGTAATGTATTTATTTTAAGCAC